CGCCCAAGAAGAGGAGGGGAGCTGCCCCGCCACGGGCCATTCGCCAGGCCCAGGACGAGGATATGAGTGTCTGCACATGCAGAAGGCGCAGCAAGCGAGACGTCTGCCTGCCAGCATCAAGTCGGGCATGTGCCTCTACAGGAGGAATATTCAAAAATAGTCCAGAAATAGTCGGGGGACGATTTTTGAATAATCTTTGACCTTTTTTGAATATGGTTGAGTATTTGATTTAATTGTCGTTCAAATTCCGCCTGTAGGGGATTTGCCCGACCTACTGCCAGCAGGTGCCCCACTGAGACGTTCTCATCCGCCGATTGCCACGGGGACCCAGAGGAGCTCTGGGGCACCCCGGGGTCTTCAAGCATCGACGGCGAATGTGCCCCAAGACTCTTGCGGCACGAGTTCCCGCAGTGGGAGCACACGCCAAGAAGCACCCTGCTTGCCTCCAGGGTGCCTTGGGCCTCTCGGGCTTCGATGGTTCTGCGATGGACAGCGTGACGTTCCCACACCAGAAATCAGTGGCCGTCCTTGGGTCTCATGGTTGGGTTTCTCGTGGAAGGTTTCTTCTGGTCGAGGCCCTACTGCACACGTGACGCTCCAGCCTAGGCGGCGCATGCGTCCCAGTGTCCCATAGCGGCCGTCACCATCAAGCGGCAGAGTTACAGGGGTATTCCTCGAGGTGGGTCGTGCGGAACTTGGCCGTACCCGCAACACGTCCATCTTCTCCGCCTCCTCCTCCTCCCGCATCCGCTTTTTTCTCCTCCGCCTCCTCCTCCTCCCGCCGCCTCCTCCGCCTCCTCCTCCTCCTCCTGATGGTCGAGCTCCCATTGTATCGAGTGAGGCTGCTATGGCCAGACGGGCCCAGGGAGGGCATAGGTCGCTGCAGAGCGCTCCCTGCACGCCCTCTCGGAGTCCCAGAGATCCCCAGCGCTACGTCGGGCATGCTCTCTACAGGAGCACGATTCGAAGATAGCCAAAAAATCGTCTGAGGACGATTGTTCTACCAGTTTGGGCTATTTGAAAATACGTTTCGACTATTTCTCATTTCGCTCCAAATCCGCCTGTAGGGGGACATGCCCGACCTAACCCCAGCTCAGCCCAGTCAGATTCTGTCGGAGGCTGCTCCCCCCCCACCCCCAGTGGCGCCAAAGCAGTTGAGAGATTCGCGCGTCGTGGCCCGGGCCAGAGCGGTGGCCCGGCCCATGGGTGGGCAAAACGGGGCTTCAACGGCATGGGGAATGTCGCAAGCTCGCCGGGATCTCAGTTCCGCACCGTGGGGGCGTGCAGACGGTTGATGGGCGCCGTGCAGTGTCAATGTGATAGTTTTCTTATGTGTTGTTTTGCAGATCGGCGCAGGCCCTCGCATCCCCCCCCCTCCTCCCCCCTCCCCCCCCATGTGGAGTGGATCTTGGCCGTTTCTGGCGCCTGTCTCAAGCAGGTGGAGTCTCCCCCATCGGACGCACTGTTGCAAGCAGTCGCGCTAAGCAGAGGTCCGGAGCCAGACCCCCCCGTCCACCCCCCCTTCCGCCCAATGTCGAAACGCCGAATAAGAAAACGTTCACAATGTGGTTGCCTTGAGGTTCCTTAAGGTCTCTCGTTGGACCGCTCGAGGCCTGAAAGACTGGCGCAGACAGCGGCAGTCAGGGTGGCAAGGTTGCACGAGATGTGGTCCAGAATCGTTGGCATTCTCAGGGGATCTGTTGTGGGGGTCCTCCGTTGCTTCCCCAACCGACGCGGAAGAAAAGAAGCGGATTCGGAGACGTATGCCGGAGGTGGATAGACCTCCCACCCTGACACGTCGATTAAGGAATTGGCCGTTTTCGGTTCGCGAGAGGGCGTCGCGGCCGTCATTTTTACGGGTCCAGGTCCGTCGGTTTCGGTCCCAGGCCGTTTTCACTAAGGGGAGGTTTATTTAAGGGAGGTTTGCCCACCGCCGAGTATGGGTATCCAGCGGCCTGTGGTTCATCCCGCCACCGTGCATGGGTCGTGGACCAGAAGCCTTTTGGAAGCATCTTTGGATCCTCCTGGAGGGGGCCGCTTGAGGCTCTTGGAGGCGTCTTCTGGGCATCTTGGGGGTCTCTTGGAGGATACTGGGGGGTATCGGGTGCATTTTGGAGGGGAGTTTTCCAGCGATCTGAATGTGGCGCGCTTGTTCGGCTGATCTTCGGGCCGTCTTCGAGGCCTCTTGGGCACCTCCCGGGAACCTTGGGAGGCTATTTTGTGGTGGTATTGAAAGCAGTCGGGGCCGTCTTGGACATTGTGACTACTGAAAAAATCACAGCAATCGCATCAGTTAAATGTATGGCTTTAGGCAATGTGTTGTTGGTTTCCTGTGCCAGCCCCCCCCCGCCTGGGTTTTAAACGGCCCTGGAGGGCCCGAGGAGTCCCTGGCACTATCTTAGCGCATGCTGGATCTTCAGTTACCGAACGCGACCGCGACCCCGAGGCTTGGGAAAAGACAAAACCTAGAAAATATGGGAGAATATGGGGAATCCTGCTATTTGTGTGTATCTATTTGTGTCTCCCAGAGCCCCTTGATAGATGAAAAGCGAGCGGGGCGGGAGACGCGGCGGCAGTCGTAGGTCCTTCCCCGCTGCGCAATCGACTGCCTCTGTTCCAACTCGGCGGGCGTTACAAGGGTCTCAATGCAGACGCCTGCTTGCCACACGCTGGTAGAGGCAAACTATGTTTGTGCCTCAGCGCTTAACTCACAAGCGCTGTCTCAGCGTTCGATCACCGGCCGGCTTGATGCCGCGCGGTAGGCTCTAGACAGCACCGCGGAGGCCCACTCTCCGCGGACACATTTGCAGCTGCGGCCTGCCCCTGGAAATGGGGCGAGAGCTTTGGGACATGACATTGCTCCTGCTCATGCTCTTGCTTCTCTCCTGTCCCTGGAGAGGGGATTGCTCCTGCTCCTGCTTCTCTCCTGCCCCTGGAAATGGGGCGAGAGCTCTGGAACGTGACATAGGAGAGGGGATTGCCCCTGCTCTTGCTTCTCTCTGCTGGCATGTCGGCTGCGGCGAGAACGGCGCTCGTGCTCTCAACCAGGAGTGGCATCCACACAGAGCCCGTTTGGATGGCAGGCTCAGTGGCAAACCCATCTATACTGGACCGGAATGCCGCAGTCCAAATCGAAACAACAAATATCCGGTTGCCTGCGGCAAATCGGTCACCGTGCCAGCGAATCGTTTTGTGTAGCGACCCTTCGAGCACCGCACAGAAGGCCATTGCATGTGACATGTTTCGTCTGTCCTTCTGGAGGAGTCATCATACGACCAATTTGGTCCATTACGGGGCTGTGTCGGGCAGCACCGCGCTTGGAGTTGCGATGGTCACAGACATATGCAGTGCATCGCCCAGAAGTCATTCTAAATATTGGTCCTTGGCAAAGGTCTCCAGGGAGACTGCCGGCGACCCTTAGGGGCTTCCTGAGATGAATCCGAGGGTAAGTTGTCCGGGCGACGGTGCCAGCGTCATTCTCATTGGTAACATTGGTTGGTAAATTTACTAACTCGGTTGTGGTACGTTCCGCCGCAATGGCCTCAATAGACGAGGGCGGGTTCCAATAAACGAACGTGGGTTCAGTAAACGAGGAACGCCTTTCAATGAATTCGAACACGGGTTTCAATAAACGCGAGTGTATGTTCGAATGACTTTTGAGTATTTGGCCGCCTTCTGCCAATCTGGCCCTTTGTCGGTGTTTGGGACGGTGGATTCTGTGATGCCTGTCGGGATCTTTTGGGATGCCCCTCCGAAGTTTCTTGGGATGCTTCCAATTTGGATGCAAACTATATGACCCAGGTGGTGCCCAAGTGGCACCACTCGGGATCATATCGATCCTAGCGAGCCTCGATCCCTCGTGCCTGGGGGGTCAGGGACCCTTTCGGGGTCATCAAATGGTGTATCCATCTTGGGAGCCTCTTGGGCTCTTTTGGGGGCCTCTTGGGCTCTTGGGGACCTCTTGAGTGCCTCCTGAGCGTCTTGGGCGTCTTTCGGGGCGTCTTGGGGGGTCCCTGGCGGCCTCTGGGGCTGTCTTCGCCCCAGGCGGCCGTCGCTTTCCACTCCTTGGGGGCCTTCTGAAGCCTCATGGGAGGTCTCTTTGGGCCCTCTTGGGCCTGCTGCTTTTTGGCCCTTTGATGGCGATCCCTGGGGCCTTTCCTGCCGTCCTGTTGTCGAGGACGATCCATGGAGAGGAAGCATGTTGCCAAATCATTTCCAGATGTCTAAAACGTGTTTCAAACATGCTTTAAATGTGTAAAAGCATGTTTCAAGCATGTTTAGAACATGTTTACACACTTGAAACACATCTTTAATACAAGAATCGGATTCTTAGAGTGTCCAGTGTCATGGCATCCACAAGTCCGTTGCTTTTCGGCCCCCTGAGGGCGACCTCTGGGGCCTCTCCTGCCGCCCTGTAGCGTCGGGACACCGAGCGAGAAGGCCCAAGTACAAAGTTACGTATACTTTTTGTTCGGCAGAGTGCACTGCTCGGCTGCCGCGCAGTGGCGCGAACCCTCACTGCGCAGCACGGGGGCCTCGCCCTTCGGGGCAGCGGGGCGGCGGCCCCCCGAGGATCCCTGTCGGCTCTTCGGCTCCCGCGCACGCCCAGCACCGTCGAGGCGCCCGTGCTCGTGTGTGCCCCTAAATCGACCCAGGCTAGTCTTGTGGAGGACGATCCATGGAGAGGAAGCATGCTACCAAATAACTACCTGATGTCTAGAACATGAGTTAAAACTGCTTTCAACATGCACGAACATGTCTCAAACATGTTCAGGACATGTTTCTGACAGTTTAAACACACTGTAAGTTCAATGATAGAACTGTTAGGGTGTCCATTGTCGTGGCATCCACAACCCTAAACCGACCCAGGCTAGTCGCTCCCAGGGACTTGCCCCTGCCGCGCACGTCACGCGCGAAGGTGCCGCCTCGGAGGCAGACGCTGTGGCCGTAGGCTGCCCGGATGCCGTGGCCCAGGCCGTCGGGGCCACATCGCTTGCCGCAGCCGCGTCGGGGGCTCGAGGCTGCCACTCCCTGCCGTTGCCACCAGCGCGACCTCCGCTGCTGCGGACGAGGCCAACTCCGCCCCGTCCCCGCGCCCTCGCTCTCGTCCACCCGGTCTCGCCTTGCACTGCGAGCTCAAGAGGCTGGCAGCAGAGCTCGCACGGAAGGCCGTGCGGCAGCAGCGCACGCAGTGGGCGGCGCCGTCATGCAGCCTGACAGCGTGGTGACTCGTGGAGGAGAGGATCGCCCTGGGCGGCACGGCCACCCTTCGGAGGGCACCAACTATACACCTACACTGATCCAGCCCAGGCCGATCTTAGGTCCAGGATCGGTGTATATGCATTCTGCCCATGGCAGGAGGGCGTATACACCGATCCTGGGCCCAGGTTGATCTTGGCCGGGAGCGGTGTTCCTGTACAGTTGGTGCCTCCCTAACCCTGACGCCCGTCTCGGTGTCCGATCGGCTCCTGGCCGCCACGGCCCCCGCTCGGCCGACCCACTCCGCGACGCCGTCGACCGTGCGCGGGCGCCTCTCGCGCCGCGTGCGCACCGCCGCTGAAGTCCGCAGCGTCGCCGGGGACTCCTTCGCGCAGCGGTCGGCCTCGAGGTTCGGAGGGCACCAGGTATACTCCAGATTTCGTAATAAAGGGAGGGGGGTCTCATTTCGGGGGGGGGGTCTCTTCCAGGCTATCTTGGAGGGCCTGGGGGATCTGGGGAAGATGTTTCGGAGGGTTCTCCCACGGGGGAGGTCTGAAAAGGCTTGTCTTGGAGGGTCCAGACCCCCTCCCTTTTATTACGACATCTGGAGTGCACCAACACCGATCCTGGCCCAGGATCACCCTGGGCCCAGGATCGGCGCATATGCATTCTTGTCCAATCCTGGTCAGGATCGGTGTTGGTGCATAATGGAGGATGACGATTAATAAATGACCGGGGGTCGTGTTCACGCGGCGGCGCCCGGGATGACGATTAGAAAAAACCGGCCGCGGGCTGGAAAACTATTGGTTTAATCGTTCTCCTCCAGTCAGAAACTTGTGCAGAAGTAGCGAACAACTATTTTTTCAATCGTTCCCCCTCGTTTTTTATTAATCGTCATCCCGCATTAGTGGGTGCCTTCCTGAGGTTGCCGCACCGATCCCGCCTCTGGAGGCGGCCCCGCTGCTGCCGGCGGGCACCTTGGCGGATGTCCCGGCCGCGGGGGTCCGGGCCGCCGAGATGGGCGGTGGCGGCCCAGGCGCGCCGCCAGAGGTTCGCCCGTGGGCTGCCTGCGCTGCACGTGGCAGCGGGCCTCCTCCTCCTCCTCCTCCTCCTCCTCCTCCTCCTCCTCCTCCTCCTCCTCCGCTGCCTCCTCCTCCTCCTCCTCCTGCTCCTCCTCTTTTGTGGCCCCCTCGTCTCCGCCCGGGCGCCGCCCCTCCCGGGAGGCTGTCGGCCCGGGGCTTCGGTGGGCTGGACCTGCCGCCCGCCCTGGCCCCTGGGCCTGATTCGCCAGAAAGAGTTTCGAGCACCAAAACAAGTACCGAAACTCAAAGGGTTTTCCCGTGTCGGGCCCTAGGAGAGACTCGTCCGACTCTGTGCCGGCACTCTTTCGACACTTTTCCGGGTGCTCGAAGTCATTTCTGGGATGTGGCCTTGATGTTCGATGGGAAACGTAAGCTTCGCCAACGAAGCCGAGCCGCTGAACATCGCGAGCGGCGGCATCGACTGCGGGAGCGCTACCAACACCGCCAGGAGCTCGCCGCCGTCCACGTCCTGGATCAGCCCTTGCATTCAGTCGGGCTTGTCCCTCTACAGGGGGAAAATGAAAGAAAAGCAAAAACAAGTAATCCGTGATGATGTTTTTGACATGTTTTTGAATGTTCTTGAGTTGTTGTTGGGTTATCTTGTTCTTTTCGCCCAGACTCTGCCTGAAGATGCAGAGCTGCCACCAATCAGGAGGAAAAGAAACACACAGACACAATTAATCCTGGATTTCCCAGAAAATATGGGAAAATATGGGAAGTGGGCGGGAAGACAGAAACCCAGAAAATATGGTAAAATATGGGGGATTATTTTATTTGTGTGTATTTATTTGTGTGTCTCAGGGCCCCTTCAATCAAGATCTTGTGGCTGGACCGTGGCCCGAGGCACCGCCCGGGCGGGGCAGGGCGGCAGGGCGAGAGACCGTGCAGCCAGCCACGGCGAGGTCGCGGAGCGACGGCGTCGAAGGCGGAGAGCGTCGACGAGCACCTCGCCGCGCAGGAGCGGAGCGGGTGTGGGAGTGGGAGAGGGAGTGCAGGGCTCGTCTCGATTCCTCCGATTCGATTCGATTCGACCGACTTCGATGGCTTCCGATTCCGATTCCATTCGACTTGGGATTTCGATCTGGGCTCCGATTTCTCAATGGAGGCCTACTAGCCTGCCGATGTCCGCCGATTCGACTTTTCCCGACTCGGCTGCCGATTTCCGCCGATCCGGGTGTGGGTGTCGGTAGCAAGTCATGGGAGCCTGGTGTACCCTTTCAATTCCGTCTTTAGCGTCGGTTAGCGTCGATTAGCGTCTGGGGGTCGATGTTAGCGTCGGTTGGCGTCGATTTAGCGTCGATTAGCGTCGACTAGAGTCGATTAGCGTCGATTCGCAAGAGCCGACAAGATGGTATGGGCGGCTCCCATGAGTTGCCACCGAAGGTGGGTGTGGGTCAAGCTAGCCAGCTCGAGCGAGTCAAGCATGGCATGCCCATTCCCACCCGCCCTCCCACAAGATAAGAATCAGTGATGGCACAACTGGGGGCTGCGCGGGCATCTCAGTGCGAGTGGAGGATACCCCAGGACACCGCATTGACGTCCGCGCGGGATGTGCGCCGCGTCTCATTCCCGCCACGCATTTCGCATCGTCGACGACAAGACAGGCCATGATGAAAGGAAAAACGGCAAATGTGTATTGCTTTTTTTTGTTTAAAAAAAAAATCAGGATGGGAGGGCCCGCAGTCCGCATGGACGTCCTCGCGCATTCCTGCCACATATTTCGCACCGTCGGCAGGCCATGCCGAGAGGAAACAACGGAGACTTTGTATTGATATTTCTCAGTCAAAATGGGCGGGCCCGGATTGACGGCCGCGCGCGATGTGCGCCGCGCCCCATATGTGCGCCGCGTCCCATTGCTGCCACATATTTCGCACCGTCGGCGACAAGGCAGGCCATGCTGAGAGGATAAAACAAAGACTTCGCATTGATTTTTTACCGTCAGGATGGGCGGGTCCAGATTGACTGCCGCGCGCGATGTGCGCCGCGTCCCATTCCTGCCACGCTTTTCGCATCGTCGAAGACAAGAAAGACGATGTTGAGAAGAGAAACGGCCACATTGTATTGCTTTTTTACAGTCAGGATGGGAGGTCCCGGATCGGGTTGTTCCCGGCCGGAATACGAGGTAGGTGGGGGCATATACTAATAAGGAACAAGGATGTGGGTGGGTGGGTGGGTGGGGGGACGGGCGGGTGGGTGGGTGGGCGGGGGGGGGGGCGAGGCGAGCGAAAGGGGGGAGGGGGAGAGGCGGCGAGGGGCAAGGGCGGTGAGAGGAGAGAGAGAGAGAGGGGTCCGCAGCCTGGTCCAGGATGCACGGGGTCTTGAGCTCCCTTTCGCGACCCGTTGCCGGTCGCACGCCTCAAGGCCATCAACGTCCGTGTTCCAGGATATCGATGCGCGCTGGCGGCGCGCTGGCTGCGCAATGTTTTTGCTGGACTGGCCAGGATGGCAACGCCGTGGAGCACGAGGCCGACGAGCCTGCTGGGGGGCGGCAGTAGCCGCACCTGCCCGAGCTCGAGGAGGTTGGTGGTGACAGAGAGGCAGCAGGAGTTGTCGGAGAGGTTCGGCGGCCTGGAGCTCGACCCCGTGCTCGGCAGCGGGGCGGTGGTTCTGATGGATGCGGAGTGGATGGTCGAGCGAGACGGCTCTGACGGAATATTCGAGCCGCGCCAGGCCCTGCCGCCAATCGCGCTCATGCCCCACAGCGGCGGCAAGGCCGCCACGCAAGACATTGAGAGGTTCCGGCAGCCGCTGCTACACGTCGCCTGTATCGAGAAGATGCCTACGGCGGACCACCGCCGCCGCCTATGTGGCCGAACGTTGCGGCCAAGCTATTTCACTATGTGCTCCCCAAGCCGTTGTGGAACCCCTTCGGGGAACACGCGGGAGAGAACTATGAATTATGATGATCAATGAGAATAGCAATTGTAATATTGTGACTGAACAAGGCGAATACTAAGAGCAATCCTGCTACGAACAACAATGGTTCGAATAATAATAAGAAACGGCCACTAATACATATAGTAACAAGGAACATACACCAGTAATATTAATATTGCGACTCATGATGATTTAATAATAAGAATAAGAATAGGAATGCTAATAATCATAAGTGGAGGCGAGGGAGGAAAAAGGAGGGGGAGGAGGAGGAGAAGGAGGAGGAGCCTCTTGGGGCACTCCTTGGGCCTCTTGGAGCTTCCTGGAGGCCGCTTGGAGGAGGCTTCTTGGGAGACTCTTTGGCAGTCTGATAGTGTTTCTGGCACGTGTGACTGCGTCGGGAGTCGTCTTAAGGTGCCTTTGTAGGCAGACTTGGGGTCTTCTTTGGGCGCTTCATGGCCGTGCTGGAGGTCATCTCTGGCGTCTTGGAGGTTAGCTGGGCCTTCTTGGGGCCGTCTTGCGGGCCTCTTGGACCGTCACGGGGCCACATGTCAAGCCTCTTGGTCGCTCAGGGGGCGATCTTGGGGGCCTCTTGGGCCGCGTCGGAAGACCAAACAAAGAAGCAAGCACACGCCAAATTCTTGACGACACGCCCAACCCAAGTGTTGGCTGGATCGGACGTCCCCCCCCCTCAGCGGACAGGCGGGCACGCCTCCCCGCCGCCGTCCTTGGGGTCGCCCCCGTGCTTGCGGCCGCCCCCGCCAGGAGGGCCGCCGCCAGGAGGGCCATCTCCACCTCCAGGCGGCGCCATGCGCAGGCCGACGTCCATCCCCTGGCGGATTTCTCTCTCTTCTCTCTCTCTCTCTCTCTATCGCCCCCTCCTCCCCTCTTGCCCCTCCCCTCCCCTCCTCGTCCTCCTCCTCCTCCTCCTCCTCCTCCTCCTCCTCCTCCTCCTCCTCCTCCTGCAAGGTTTCGCCAGAGATCCAGCGCGCTGCCATCAGAGCGGGGAGGGTTGAGGTGTCTAGGGTTCTCGCGTTGGGGGAGGGACGCAAACCGAAGGTGCAGCGCGCTGTCAACGTCCATCTTACACGTTCTCTGTATCCTGACCGCTTTTCTGACACCATCCGTAGGCGCTTGAGCAAGTGGTTTCCACTCCTTCCTCTCCCTCCTGATCTCGATGTCTGCTGGCTTTTTCTCCGATCCTATCTCGCTCGATGCAAGCCGGCGATTCGCTGGTGTGTCCTTAAAACGCTGTGTGGCGCCTGGACCACAAGCAGTCGGATGCACGTCGTGCCGGGCTCGAAAGCCTGCCTCATGGGATGCACCGACGGGATAGATTGCATCCAGCATTATCTCGTCTGTGATAAGTTCCTGGAGCTTGTTGCCGACCCTCAGCGACCTTCGAGTGACGAGGTTTTAGTTCGACTGGGCTTGGGCGGGGAGGCGGCGCACATGGGTCGGCACTCGCTCGGATCTGTAGTGCGTTCTCTTGCCCTTGCCTTCTACATATATCATGCCATGAAGGGGGAGATCGGCACCCCCCCTCACGTTTACATCACTGCGCCTGCCGCTGCACGCATCCGTGCTCTCGCCATCCAGCGTTTGCGCGAGGCGTAGGCGACCAGGACTCCTCAGGGGACGTTCGCTCCTCCTCCTCCTCCTCCTCCTCCTCCTCCTCCTCCTCCTCCTCCTCCTCCTCCTCCTCCTCCTCCCCTCCCCTCCTTTCCCCCTTCCCCCGCACCCCTCTGCTCGCGCTGCCCGTGCCCTCCCCCTCTCCCCCCCTCACTTCCTCTGCTGCCAATGCAATTGCCTTGCTGGTCAGGGCCAGCAGCAGAGCCAAGGGGAGCATGGCTGCTGGCGGCATGTTTCGCGGTGCCCTCCCTCGCTGCTCGGGCGGGCCCGCCCTGGGCCCTCGCGCGCCCTGTCTATCTAGGCCCTCGGTGACCTCAAGCCCGAAGCGTCTTCAAGTAGGATCAGTCTGGAGCTTTCTCTCTCCCTCTCCCTGGCACCCCCTTTCCCCCTTCTCAGCGCCCTCCTGTACAGGGCCCTGGGCGGGGCAAGCTGTCGACACGCTTCCGTAGAACACGAAGCTGAACAAACTGTTGATTGAAATCACCATGTCAGTGTGTATATATATATATATATGTATGTATGTATGTATGTATGTATGTATATATATATATATATATATGCCTAACGCCATGTATTGCGCGTGCATGTTTGCGGTAATGCGAGCGTGCGCGTGCGTGTGTATGTGAGCGAGTGCGCGCGTGCGTGCGCGCGTGTGTGCGCTCGCCGTCGCCGTCGCCAGCGGACGCTCGTCGCCGCCCCGCCGCCGCCGGACCTCGCCTGTATGGCGCGCGTATGCGTATACATGCGTGCACATATGCCGCCCGCGGAAATATCAAGTTCGCTTGCAGTCGGTCCGCCGCGCCAACCGCCGAGCAGGAACGGCGCTGGCGTCGCTTCTGCTCCAGTGAGTCTATGCGCACGCAGAGAGGCAACCAGTGGGCACACACCGTGCGGCAATCCTCACAGAGACTCCAAGATCTCTTTGCCCTGCCGCTTGCTGAAGGGGTTGGTTGTAGCCGCAGAGACGCGCGCCCCGCCAGGGGGCCTTCGGTGGGGCTGTCTATGAGGCCTGGAAGCGCGTGAGGGCTGCACCGAACTGGGCCTGTCCCCTGGCGGCGGAGGTTTGCGCTTAAGCAGCTCACTGTTCTTCCCATGGAGCAATTCCACGAGCTTCTCCGCCGCCTTCACCTTCTTCTGCTTGCTGTAGTGGTCCGATTTCTTGCGAATAGAGCACACCTGATGCTTGTTGCCGGAATTCTCCCGCACGGCGCTGCACCAGCCCCTTTTGCACCACATCACGATGTATTTCCGCTCGGTGGCCGCCGCAGCAGCGGGCTTCGCCTTCTTGATCGCGGGTGCCTCCTCGTCCTTCACCTCGACCTCGTCGGGCTCGAGCTGCTCCTCCCCCTCCCCCTCGTCGTCCCCCTCCTCGGTGGGGGCGCGCTCCTCCTCGTCCCAAGCCCTTGCAGGCTTCTTCGCGGCAGCGGCGGGTCTCTTGAGAGGCCCGCCCTTTCCCTTCGGTTTCTTATTGGGCCGCGTCTCGCACATGGCTTTCGGCACATCCGTCTCCTGGTCGTCGCCGTGCATTTTGGCCGTGCGCATGCCGTCGGGCCCTGGCGCCAACTTGTACTCCGTGGTCGTGGCGCCGCTTTGCCCTATCAGGAGCATGCGGTCGCAGTCGGTTGTGAAGGTCCCGAGTTTCTCGTTATTTTTCTTTTTGTCGCCCGTTTCGGCGGGAAGTTTCTTCTTGGGGGCGGCGGCGCCGCCTGGCGAGGGCGCGATGCTTATGGGGTCGCTCAGATGTGGCCTCAAGATCTTCGTGCTCAGCGGGATGCCCGTCGGAACCTTCACGTTGTACGCCTTGTAGATAAACCCTGGGTGCATCGCGGACCTGCTGGCTGAGCCTGGGGTGCTCGGACCCCGCGCGCGCGACGGGGATCTGCTCCTGCTGGGGGCCCTTGCCTTCGTTTTCTTGTAGCTGCCTGCTTGCAGTCTCCCAATGTCACCGATCTGCTTCACTGCGGGGCGCAATCTTGATCCGTCAACGACCCCTCTCCACTTGGCGAGAACGTGCGAGAGAGCAGCCGCAAACTGCCACGCAGACATGCTGGCGCCATCCCTGGGCGTGTCGACCTTATGGATGAGCGCATCTCGCAGTTGAGGCTCTGCGATCCGCTGCGTGATCTGAATGGCGCCGCCCAAGAACGCCATGTTGTTGGCGACCACGTCGCCCTTGTCAGACTGGAAAATCTTCATCGTCCGTATCTCCATCTGACATGACGTCACCAAGTTCCCCATGCTCTCCACCGAAGCCGCATTCTTCGCCCGCTCCTCGGCCATGATACGACGCACAAGGAACAATACGATATCGGGTGCAATAATAAGATTGGGTTGGAACCAAAACGGCTACGGAGCGCGCGCTTTCCTGCGTCCTCCTCTTTTCCCTCCTGCACAGGAGGGGCGACGGACCCGACGCGAACGATTTTGCGAACACTCAGCCACATGTTTGAAAAGCCTGTTTGCGCTAATTCGGAAAGGCTTGCTTGCTCTAATTAACTAAGGAACTCCATGCCTAATTAGAGCAGGTTGGACACTCAAGGATGGGCGCCTCCCGGCGCCGGCAGGCGCCGGGAAAGTCAGCTACGCGAGCTCTCAACGCCCCCTTTTGCTACCTTTCCTTTCGCCCAACCCGAGAGGAGAATGGCCCCAGGGCCGAGAGAACACGCCGGCCTTGGAGCCAGTGGAGAGGAGAGCGTCCCCAGAGTTGTCGGCGTCGTCTGAAGGCTGGGGCCATGATGTTCCAGCCTACAGTAGCCCTGATCACGAGACGGAATCGCGAGCGCCAACAAGGTACTGGAACTGGATGGCCTCCACGCGTCGGGCTTGGGAGGCGATGCGCGATCGACGCCGTTTCGATACTTTTCCGGATGTTCAAAATGACTTCTGGGACATGGTCATGCAGTGCGATGGGAGCAGCATGAGGCCAGGGGGCGGTCGCGTCATTCGACGTGGGAATGGGGCGGCATGAGACCGCTTCGCCGGCAGACCGCTCCGCCACGGGCCGCCTCGCGGCCCAGAGGGGCTCAGAGGGGCAGAAGCCTGGCCGGAGGGGTCTGGAGCCAAGGGGTTTTCCTCCTGCTCCTCCTCCTCCTGTTTCAGAAACCTCAAATAACCGGATTATTTCTGAGGAGCCCTGTGCCTTCGTGGAGCTTTTCTCTGCCTTCGTAGAGACCCCTCGGCACTCCGTGGGGCCCCTCCTGGCCGTACGGGGCAACCTGGGGCATCATTACGACGCATTTGACGTATCGTGGGGTTTCGTGGAATCTCGTCGGTTGCGAATCATAGCAAATGCCTGACCTACACACCATATGCTCGAACACGCGCCTACTACCTATTCGGCTTCCCTCCGGCCTACCTCCATGTTGCTCGCAGTGCCCGTCCTCATCCCATATCCCGTTTTTTCCGCTCCGTTCACGCCCCGCCGCTCCTCTCGTTTTGTTGCAACCTCCTCCTCCATCTCCTCCTCCTCCTCCTCTCGCTCGTCCTCCTCCTCTTTCTCTTCCTCCTCTTCCTCCTCAGGCCTTCTCCTACTCTTGCTCTTCCTCCTCTTCCTCTTCCTCCGCTTCCTTTGCCTCTTCCTCAAGTCTCGCAAGAAGAACGACTTAATACCAGCCGTGGCGACAGCGGATGGCAGCGACGAGACAGACCGCCAGGGGATCGCAGACGTCTTCGCAGACTTCCACGAGGAGTTGCATCGACGCCCCCCAGTGACGGAATCCCGGACACAAGCAACAGCGGCCAACGAACAAGACATAACGACAAGCAATACGCAACAGAGCATTCCACCCTTCACCGAAGAAGAATTGCATCAAGCAGTGAAACAATACAAAAACGGGAAGTGCAAGGACGCGGCTGGCCTCACCGCGGAGCTCCTGAAAGCTGGGGGCGCCGTCATGGAGCATCACTTGCTGAAGCTGTTCAGTGATGTAATAGCACCAGAGCAGACACCTCCCGACCAATGGAGACGCACCACAATCAGCGTCATCTTCAAGTCCGGAGACCCCCAGCAGCCGAAAAACTACAGGCCAATCACAATCATACCGCTGTCATACATGCTCATGTCCCGACTACTCTGCAACCGTCCAGAGACAATCTTCGACTCCCAACGATCACCAGACCAAACTGGCTTTCGCAAGAGCTTCAGCACAGAAGACCACCTCTTCACGACAACAATACTGTTCGAACTATCTTACGAGTGGCAACTCAAATTGTGGGCAGCTGCGATAGACTCCCAAAAAGCGTTCGACTGCGTCGACCATCAGTGCTTGTGGGAAGCACTACGAGAGCATAGTTGCCCAACGCAATACATCACCCTACTACAGAAGTTTTACGGTGGGCAGACGGCCACGGTGAGGACTGACGTCAACAGCAGAGACTTCAACATTGAGCGCGGCGTTAAGCAAGGTGACCCACTCAGCTCTTACCTTTTTTTCAACGCAGTGCTCGAGCACGTGCTCCGGAAAACCAAATCTGTTTGGAGCAAAAAAGGTTTTGGTATACAAATGGGGCTCGCGAGAGTCGCGAGAGCTACTCGTCTGACCAATATGCGGTTTGCTGATGACGTGTTGTTTTTGGCACCCATTTTGCGACAACTGAGGTGCCTCCTCCGTGACCTCAAGCACGCGGCCTCCCCATGCGGATTGGAGCCGCCCCCAGACAAGACCAACATTCTCACAAATATGAGCAGACAGCACGGACGAAAGACGACGCACGCCGACATCGACGGTGACAAAGTCGAAATCCTCAGCACCGAACGAAGCACGAAATACCCTGGCCGGAAGCTGACGCTACACGACTACCACGGCACTGAGCTCTCCAACAGAATTGCCGTGGGATGGCGGAAGCGGAAATTCCACCACTTTCGCGACGAGGTGACAAGCAAACGGTACTCCTTGCACAGCTGACTCCGGCTATTCAGTGGCACGGTGACGCCAAGCGTGTTGTACGGCTGCGCCGCGTGGGCCCTCACCGAAGAGATGCTCATGACATTGCGACGCACCCAACGACGCATGCTACGATTCATCGTGAACACACCCAGACGAAGGGCGCCAGCAACACGCAGCACCGACACCGGCAGCGACGCCAACCCCGATCTTGGTCAGCACGACGACAGTACGAACTCAAGCAACATCACGAGCACCAGCGACGCCACAGCACAAGCTCACCGCGACGTCGTCGAAGACGACTCCGACTTAGAACCGTGGGGGGACTTCATTCGCAGAGCTACCCGCG